AACTCTGCACAGCAAATTGCCCCGCCTTGAATGACAGAGCCACCGTGTGCCGTGATTACGATGAATAGTAGCGCTAATAACATGTCTTGCTGCTAAAACACACTTGATTGGCCAAATACATTTACAATATATACAATAATTTTCAAAGCAACAATGAAAGATTTCCATTAAGTTCAAGAAAAGCAGCCCCCATTATCATTACGCGTACTACTTCATTGTAAAACCATTGAGGTAACAAAAGACCACTGAAGTGTGAAATAGAGTATAACATTTCCTGCGCATGCGTAGACTCATTGACTTTCTACGCATGCGCACCGGTAATCGAAAGGGCGACGCGACACGCGACAATGCTACGTTATTTAATATGTCGCATTGTCGCGTGTCGCGTTTTAGTGAATTTTAGGCTTCTTTTACACATCTTAGATAGGGCGCGACAACGCGACATATTTTGATATTTTGCTATGTCGCATGTCGCCCTTTAAAGAATAGAAAAATATTATTCAAAACGCGACACGCGACATCGCGACAATGCGACAAATGGGCGAAATGTCGTGTTGTCGCGATGTCGCGTGTCGCGTTTTAGTTTATTTTGCCTCACTTTACTTGTTTTTGACAACGCGACAATGCGACATAGCGACAATGTCCCTTCTAGGATTCCATAGAAAACAATTCTCTAAATAGACAAGCATCCTTCATGTTAAACATAAGATGATGTAATAGATATAGGATTGTGTAATCTAACCCGTAACATACACCTTTCATACATCGAGGGACTTGATACCATTTGGCTTCATGAAATGTGACGCTCTCATGGTGAGAGAAAAACATAAACACAGTCTTCCTCGGGAGCTTTAAAGTTATAGGTTTCCAAATTAATAGGATACTTATTGATTCCATGCCTCATACCACATAGTCTTCCTCTTTTGAGTAGACTGTAACTACTTTTTTACAGGTGAGGTGAAAAGTAGTTATGTTATGGAATAGATACTTATTGAGTGCTTGCCTTATCTATGATGACCCCCCATGCACTTTGTATCTCCCTTAAAAGTAGTCATAGTCTTTCGAGTAAGACTATGGATACTTTCTACAGGGGAGATAAAAAGTAGTTGTGTTATGGGTTATAGTCCCGTACGACATAGTCTTTCGAGTAAGACTGTGGCTACATTTTACAGGGGAGATGAAAAGTAGTTGTGTTATGGATTTATAAATTAATATGAGTTAGGAATGGATACTTATTGATTCCTTGCCTTATATAGGCTGGTCCCGTACCCCATTGTTTATACTACTCTCCTCGCCCTTACTCCTCTCGACCCTACTCCCTGTTCCTACTCTCCCCATCCTTACTCATTTGGTCCTTACTTCTCTCGTCCCTACTCCCTTTGTCCTTACACCTCTCGTTCTTATTCACTTCGCCCTTACTCCCATAGTAATTACTTTTCTCCGTCTTACTCCTCTCGTCCGTACTCCCACGCCCTTACTAACTTTATCCTTACCATCGTCGTGCTTACTCCCTTCATCCTTATTTCCCTTGTCTCTGCTCCGCTCGTCCCTACTCCCCCCGTCCTGATATTAATCGTCCCGATTCCTCTTGTCCCTACTCAACTCGTCCTCACTCCCCTAGAATCTACTTTCCTTGTCATTACTCCCCCTGTCCCTACTCCCCTAGTCCTTACTCTCCTCGTCCTTACTCCAACCGGCCTTAATCCCCTCGTCCTGACTCCAACCGTCCGTACCTCCCTGTCCTTACTCCCCTCGTCCTTGCCCCAACGTCCTTAATCTTATCGTATTTTCACCCATCGTCTTTCACTGCCACTCTGCGTTCTTGCTTCCCTCGTCCATACTCCCCTCGTCCTTGCTATCCTTATCCTTACTGCCTTTTTCCCGACTCCCCTAGGCCCTACTGGTTCGTCCTTACTGCCTTTGACGTTACTGGACTTGTCCTTACTCCTTTTTTCCATGCTCCCTTAGTTCTAAATCTCATCGTGCTTACTCCCTTTGCACTAACTTCCTTTGCCCGTACTTACTTTGTCCGTACTCGCCATGTCCTCACTTCTCTCGTCCGTACTCCTCCAGTGCTTACTTCTCTTGTCTTTCCTGACATCCTCCTTACTTCCCTCGTTCTTACTCCCCTGGCCCCTACTAAATTTGTCTCACTCCTCGTGTCTATACTTCCTTCAGCCTTAATCCCCTCGTCCTTACTCCACCCGTCCTCACTCGACGTCAGTTACCTTGATCTTATTCCCGTCGTCCTTACTCCTCTCACTTCTATTTTCTTTTCTTTACTCCCCTCGTCCCTTCCCCCTCGTCTTTACTCCCCTCGTCCCTTCTCCCTTCGTCCTTATGTATGTATGTATGTATGTATGTATGTATGTATGTATGTATGTATGTATGTATGTATGTATGTATGTATGTATGTATGTATGTATGTATGTATGTATGTATGTATGTATGTGTGTGTGTGTGTGTGTGTGTGTGTGTGTGTGTGTGTGTGTGTTGTATGTATGTATGTATGTACGTACGTACGTATGTATGTATGTATGTATATGTGTGTGTGTATGAATGAATGAATTAATGAATTGTCTTTATTTCCTCCAATAATGTCAGAGAGTACAATGAATTATGATATGAATACAAAATACTTGATTATGTACAAATCATTGAAAAGAAAGTTGAGCATGTGTATATATAATACACTGGGGCGTCACTGAATGAGATTCGAATCCTGCTCTGTAGGTTCCACGAACTAATGCTCCTGGCTACAATGTCAATGAACTGGGCTCACATGTGGATGTCCATGTTGTCCACGATGGGGGTGATGCCACTAAGTAGAGTGATAACTCTCATGTCATCAGAGCTACTGTCCAGATTGATGTATGTCTCTAGTGGCAAGATATCGAACAATCGTTCATACATGTTATTTCTTTGGCTAAACAGTTCATTGCAGCACAACAACTGGTGCTGCACAATATCATCTGTCTCCTCACGACATAAAAGACAGAGTCCAGCACTGACCGGTAGTATCCGAAGCTTCACCAGGGCGTACACAGGCCTGCTGTACAGGTCAAACAGTAAGCACATGTTCCACAGTCTATGGGACGAGAGGCCCGTGTGTATAGCAGTAAACCGTTGTAAGTCGGGCCGCATAGATAACTGCGTTCTCCATACTGATGTCTCTCTGGTAAACACTGCTTTATTACATATAGTTTTCCACTCATATTTTGATGTAGGAATCCCTTATCTATGTTATGAAGCAAATATTGACACAGTTCATACTTCGAACATATAGTAATCAAGTCATGAATAACATAATTTTTGTTACCACTTAAGAACTGTCCACATCTGAAATAAAACTGTAGCTTGACCATTTGGGTTGAGCTAGCGCGACATATTCTGCCGAGGTATCTCAGTTTCTTTTTGTCAGTTGTGGCCTCCATACTGCAAAGTCCGAGAGTCTGTGTGGTAACAGCAGTTGGAGATCACACATGGAATCCTTGAATGATTCGTGCAAAGTATCTTTGCAAACTTTCGAATTCTTCTATTTCTGGTCTTGTGATGCTAGCCCACAGTTCGCATGAATACAGGGCACTTGCTAAGATAATACGCTGCCAGATCTTAGCACAGATTACTGGGTTCAACCCTCCTGCCCAAAGACCAACGTCTAGCAGAAGAAGGCTCGACTCGTTCTCTCACTTTACTTTTCGGTATGAACTAATGATCCTGCGTATATTGTACTAATTTTTACAGGCACGTGAATGTTATTCAGTTTAAAGTATAATTGTTTGATATCCTTCTCTCCGCCCTTCAACACAAGAACGGAACTCGAGTATTCATGTACAATATTGAGTGAAGCCTGAAGTCCATGATTAGTTGTACTGATCAGGGTCGTGTCGTCTGTTAGCACCACTGAAGGTATATGATGTTGTCCAATCAACGCTCGCCGTTTGAGGTTGTCGAGTTGGGTGATCAGATCATTGATGTAAAGGAGGAACATCCATGCAGATAACACTCTTCCTTGCCCCACTCCTTGTCTGATTGGGAAAGTACGACTCGTGATGCTGTTGTATTGAACACAAGCAGATGCTTCTTTGTACGAGGGTCTAACCAAGTGCCACGCCCGTCCGTTAGCGCCTATATCAATCAATTTGAATAAAAGTCCATTATGCAAAATCCTGTCGAATGCCTTTTCATTGTCCAAGAATCCAACATAAATATTTGATTCTCTCTCCATGTAATACGCTATAGTCTCTTTCAGTATGTGAACAGCTATGTTTTCTAAATCCACTCTGAAGTTTGTTTGGGAATTCCGGATTAGTTAATTGTACATGATTTTCAACTTGCCTAACAATATCTTTTCAAACAGTTTACTGAAGGCTGAAGTGATCCTTCTATAACTTGCTGGGTCAGTATTGTCCTTGTTGCTACCTTTATATAACGGGAGAATAGTTCCTATCCGCATTGACTTGGGTATGCAACACATCTCAATTATGAGGTTAAACAGGCGAGCTGTGATTTCACCACAGTTTGAATGCCAGATACAGAAACACCATTTTCGAATATTGGGTCACACGATGGGACATCAGAACGTTCTATCTTTTCGACCGCATTGTTTATAGATTCAAAATGGTCAGCATCGGAGTTGTTGCTTTCATATGGCGAAAGTAGGTCACAGTAATACTCCGACCACATGCCGCATACTTCAAAGTGAGCAAAGGCACATTTATCTTTATACTTAATGCTTCTCTGTACATTTGATGCAACTCTCCTTCTCTGTTTCTGAACAGTTCTATAAAACTGGGCAATATCAACTTCACTAGCTGTGTTAATTTCAACATATTTCTCTGTTCCAATTTCGCTCCACTTTTCTCGTCTGTTGTCTGAACTCTCTCTTGTTATGATCAAACTTCCAGCCCAACTGGTGTCCGTCATACCTTGATTAAACAGTAGGTTTATCAATTTTAGTTTCACTTGATGATTAGGTTAATTGTTCTAACATTGATTTTCAGACATGTCGGGGAATCAGAAGGAGACAGAATCTGAACGTCCTGACAGGGAAAGTGATATAGATGGTGATGGAACTCTCACAATGGACAACCTGGCATCATCAGAAGTAGCACAACCTGGTAATGACAATGATGTGGATGTTGTTCCACTAGGAACACATGGTGATAGGACATTCTCCATGGACATGATAGCATCATCAGAAGTGGTCGAGCGTCAGGCCATTGCTGGAAATGGTGCCATGGCTGTTTCTGAGAGACGAGAAAGGCAAGCGGTGTCAACTAGAATCACTGCAGGTGAGTACAATGCTTATGAAAAACAAAATATTCACCACATTTGATAAAAAACAGTATCAATGACATTTTTTTTCTGAAACACGCTATTTATTGTCCAAAACGTGCACCGTTGGTTCCACTTATTGTTGTCTGCTTTCCAAATCATCGTACAAAAACCAAACACTCTGAACCAGGCAACAGTGAAGTTTCGTCAAGCTCGATTGTGACTCACTTGCTGTTTCTTCTCTAACTCTAGGATCTGACTTCAAAGGCATCATCGTACAAAACTCTTCTGATGTCAGCTTATCTGTTGGAGGTCACAATGATGGAATAATGAAGTCAGGCAAAGAGGCGTCTTATTGGAGAAATATTGAATTATTTTCAGGTGTCTGACTCAAAAGGTTGACAAAAATGTCACTTTTCTTTTACAACTTGATAGCACATGGTGATATCCCTAAACAGAAAAATAATAGGCAGATGATGACTAGGAAGGTTTTATGCAGTAAACAGTGTTGTATATGGGTCTAGTTGGTAATGTGGTGGTACAGTATTGGGTTATGCAAATCTCATCTTGGTTGAAGGTCAGTTTAAATATTTCCATTAGAATGCCTTCTGTTTGTTTCACGATGCTCTTGTTTGGGTGTAAAGAGGTCAGGGTAGATGCCCGGTATCTTCTGGATAGTTGCCCTGGATCGTCTTTGTGTATGCTTCTCAAAAGATGCATCGGATTTTATTATGTAACAAATTTAGTTATTGGCAAAAGAGGATCTTGCCAGCAAAAAAATGTGTCCACAGACATAGATTCGATACTGCAGATAAAGCAGGATGTATGATTTAAAAAATGATGCCGTGGAATATAATGCCTTTTTTGTATTGTAGATATGCTGGAAATGAATCTGAAAAGGGTCAAAGATGTCTTTGAGAAAACTGCTAACTAGAGGAGAGTGAAGGAACGCTTGGAGAAGTATGGTCATGTCACAATAAGTGGTGCTTCTGGTGAAGGAAAAAACGTCCATTGCCTTGATGATAGGAGCAGATCTCAGGAACCAGGGGTATGAACTTGTGTTTGTTGATGATGTGGATAAATTCGAGATAAAGAATTGTGACCTGCGTGGAAAGAAAGTTTGTCTGATACTGGATGATATATTTGGAACAGTCGGCCTATCAACTGACGTTGCCCACCTTAGGTCCATGCTGCAAAATCTAAGATGCCAAATCTAGCAATGAAGACCAACGGGAAACACATCAGGCGCTGAGTCTGAGATTCGTGTTATCTTCACCACCAAATCGTACAACCTGGAATGTGGAGACGCAAAGTTGAATGGCCAAGAATATTATTTTTTTCACTGGACCATCGCGTCTCGATTTGACAAAAATGGAAACATGTCATTACAGTCCCCAGGAAAGAAGGAACATACTCCAGAAACAACTAAAACACCATAACATCGACCTGGACCTCGGTATTGGTGAGATTTGTGACACAAGAGAATCTTTGTTTGGCTTTCCCCTGATATGTACTCTGTTTTGTGAATTTCTGAGTTTTCAAAAAGAACCTGCACAGTTTTTCCGAAAACCTTTATTCTATCTACAGAGAGAAATTGACATGATCATGGAACGTAGAAACGACCAGTCCGCTGCTCTCATCCTGATGTTGTTGTGTGAAGATCATCTGAACTTGAGCCAGGTAGAAATGGAATCTGAAAATCATATTTTAGAAGCTCACCTGCAGGCCATAGAAAGTGTGGTGCAAGTAACGTCACGGACTGCAGTTGTCAAAACCGTCAGGTGTTACAGGGGTACATTTTTCACGGATGGAGATATCCTTGGATTTTAACACCCCACAATCTATGACGCCTGTGCGTGTGCTGTATTCAAAATGAATCCATCCTTCGTTCTGAACCACTGCAGTATCAGATTCCTTTATGAGCGTGTACAGGCCCAGCAAGTCCAGTCCACTGCAATAGATAATCATCTCCACATCATCTACGTCTCAGATGCCTACTATGACACAATTGCTTCCAGACTAGCTGATACTGTTGCCAAAGGCAACTACAGTATGTCTATTACACATCCTATTTTGAAAAAAACGAACAAATAGTGGACAAAGTGTTCCAGATGCTCAAACTGAAGAAATCAAATACATTAAAGTGGTTGCTGAATACGAAAGAAAGAAAAAGGCTTGCCATGTTACATGCAAAGGAAGAAGAGAAGCACTTGCTGTACTGGGCAGTTCATGCACATAGTCTGTATTTGGTTGAGAAAATCCTCGATGTTGGATACGGTTTTTCAGACAAAGAGATCAAGGAAGGCCTGTGCTTCCTGTGGGAACGAAGCAGTGTTGTTGTTGTTATCTTCCAAATATAAGTCACTTCTACGTCAAAGTGTGCTCAACGAAGCTCTAGTGACTGCCACCGAAAATAATTACAAAGACGTTGCATTGGCCTTACTTAACATTGGAGCTGATGTCTATGAATCCCAAAATGATGTTGGTGAAAATGTCTTTCAAATTGCTAGGATGAAGGGATTCAGTCCAGGTGGAAGAGCACTATTTGGGTTTATTACCAAAGGATTAAAAATCAAACATCTGAGGGGAGACTTCAATTTTCAAAGTGCAGCCCATTTAGCCTTGTATTACAGCTGTAGAGTAGGGGATCTAAGACTTTCACAATTCTTCCTTCCAGGCGCTGACATTAATGCAAGAGGGTCTGAGGGCAAAACGCTAGTTATGATTAGTGCTTTACATGGGAACTATAACAATTTCAATCTGCTCAGGTCTGAAGGGGCCGATGTTCATATAACCGATGATGATAATAATAATGTACTCCACTGGGCGTGTCGGGGTAGAAATATTTCCATTGAAGAATGCACCCCTATGACAAATGAGGACTGGTCGATATTATTCCTTCATGACGGAAAGAGAGAAAATATCTCAATTGTAAGAGCTCTGCTTCCACTGTTTGATATCAATTGTCGTGGAAAGGGGGGGCGGGGGGCGTTACACCAGTGATGATAGCAGCTTTGTATGGGAAGAAGGATGTTTTCGACCTGTTCGTGTCAAAGGGAGCTGATCTCTTAATAAGGAAAGAGAACAATGACACCATCCTTCATTTGGCATGTCGAGGTGGAAATAGTCCCATTGTCGAAGATCTGCTTCCACTGTTTGACATTAATTGTCGTGGAGAGGTGGGTTTTACACACCAGTAATGATAGCAGCTTGGTTTGGGAAGAAGGATGTTGTCGACCTCCTCGTGTCAAAGAGGGCCGATCTCACTGTAAGAAAGTCCCATTGACAACAATGACACCGTACTTCATGTGGCATGTCGAGGTGGAAATAGTGACCTGCTCTATAGAACATCTCCTTGAATTATTTGACATTAATTGTCGTGGAGAGGTATGATTTACACCAGTGATGACATCAGCTTTGTATGGGAAGAAGGATGTTGTCGACCTAATCGTGTCAAAAGGAGTTGATCTCACACTAAGAAATGACAAGAATAACACCCTCCTTCATGTGGCATGTCAAAGTGGAAAGATTCCCATTGTAGAAGCTCTGCTTCCTCTGTTTGACATCAATTGTCGTGGAGAGGTGGGTTTTACACCAGTAATGATAGCAGCTTGGTTTGGGAAGAAGGATGTTGTCGACCTCCTCGTGTCAAAGGGAGCTGATCTCACTGTAAGAAATGACAACAATGACACCATCCTTCATGTGGCATGTCGAGGTGGAAATAGTCCCATTGTAGAATATCTGCTTCCACTGTTTGACATCAATTGTCGTGGAGAGGTGGGTTTTACACCAGTGATGATAGCAGCACTTTGCATGGACAGAAGGATGTTGTCGACCTGCTCGTGTCAAAGGGAGCTGATCTCACACTAAGAAATAACAAGAATGACACCGTACTTCATGTGGCAAGTCAAAGTGGAACGATTTCCATTGTAGAAGTTCTGCTTCCACTGTTTGACATCAATTGTCGTGGAGAGGTGGGTTTTACACCAGTAATGATAGCAGCTATGTTTGGAAAGAAGGATGTTTTCGACCTCCTCGTGTCAAAGGCGGCTGATCTCATTATAAGAAAGGACAACAATGACACCCTCCTTCATGTGGCATGTCAAAGTGGAAAAATTCCCATTATAGAAGCTCTGCTTCCACTGTTTGACATTAATTGTCGTGGACAAGTGGGTTTTACACCAGTAATGATAACAGCTTGGTTTGGGAAAAAGATTGTTGTCGACCTCCTCGTATCAAAGGGAGCTGATCTCACTGTAAGACATGACAACAATGACACCATCCTTCATTTGGCATGTCAAGGTGGAAATAGTCCCATTGTAGAACATCTGCTTCCACTGTTTGATATCAATTGTCGTGGACAAGTGGGTTTTACACAAGTAATGATAGCAGTTTGGTTTGGGAAGAAGGTTTTTGTCGACCTCCTCGTGTCAAAGGGAGCTGATCTCACAATAACAGTTAACAACAATGACACCCTCTTTCCTGTGGCATGTCAAGGTGGACATAGTCTCATTGTAGGACATCTGTTTCCATTGTTTGACATTAATAGTCGTGGACGGGTCGGTTTTACACCAGTGGTGATAGCAGCTTTGTATGGTCAGAAGGATGTTCTCGACCTGCTCGTGTCAAAGGGTGCTGATCTCACACTAAGAAATGACAACAATGACACCGTACTTCATGTGGCATGTCAAAGTGGAAGATTCCCATTGTTAAAGCTCTGCTTCCTCTGTTTGACATCAATTGCCGTGGATAGGTGGGTTTTACACCAGTAATGATAGCAGCTTGGTTTGGGAAGAAGGATGTATTCGACCTCCTCGTGTCAAAGGGGGCCGATCTCACTGTAAGAAAGGACAACAATGACACCGTACTTCATGTGGCATGTCGAGGTGGAAATAGTGCCATTATAGAACATCTCCTTGAATTATTTGACATTAATTGTCGTGGAGAGGTATGATTTACACCAGTGAAGACATCAGCTTTGTATGGGAAGAAGGATGTTTTCGACCTGATCGTGTCAAAAGGAGTTGATCTCACACTAAGAAATGACAAGAATAACACCCTCCTTCATGTGGCATGTGAAAGTGGAAAGATTCCCATTGAAGAAGATCTGCTTCCACTGTTTGACATCAATTGTCGTGGAGAGGTGGGTTTTACACCAGTAATGATAACAGCTTGGTTTGGAAAAAAAGATTGTTGTCGACCTCCTCGTATCAAAGGGAGCTGATCTCACTGTAAGACATGACAACAATGACACCATCCTTCATGTGGCATGTCGAGGTGGACATAGTCCCATTGTAGGACATCTGCTTCCATTGTTTGACATTAATTGTCGTGGACAGGTGGGTTTTACACCAGTGATGATAGCACTTTGCATGGACAGAAGGATGTTGTCGACCTGCTCGTGTCAAAGGAGCTGATCTCACACTAAGAAATAACTAGAATGACACCGTACTTCATGTGGCAAGTCAAAGTGGAACGATTTCCATTGTAGAAGTTCTGCTTCCACTGTTTGACATCAAATGTCGTGGACAGGTGAGTTTTACACCAGTACTGATAGTAGCTTGGTTGGGAAGAAGGATGTTTTAGACCTCCTCGTGTCAAAGGGGGCTGATCTCACTGTAAGAAAGGACAACAATGACACCTTTCTTCATGTGACATGTCAAAGTGGAAAGATTCCCATTATAGAAGCTCTGCTTCCACTGTTTGACATCAATTGTCGTGGAGAGGTGGGTTTTACACCAGTAATGATAGCAGCTTGGTTTGGGAAGAAGGATGTTTTCGACCTGCTCGTGTCAAAGGAGCTGATCTCACACTAAGAAATGACAAGAATAACACCCTCCTTCATGTGGCATGTCAAAGTGGAAAGATTCCCATTGTAGAAGCTCTGCTTCCACTGTTTGACATCAATTGTCGTGGATAGGTGGGTTTTACACCAGTAATGATAGCAGCTTGGTTTGGGAAGAAGGATGTATTCGACCTCCTCGTGTCAAAGGGGCTGATCTCACTGTAAGAAAGGACAACAATGACACCGTACTTCATGTGGCATGTCGAGGTGGAAATAGTGCCATTATAGAACATCTCCTTGAATTATTTGACATTAATTGTCGTGGAGAGGTATGATTTACACCAGTGAAGACATCAGCTTTGTATGGGAAGAAGGATGTTTTCGACCTGATCGTGTCAAAAGGAGTTGATCTCACACTAAGAAATGACAAGAATAACACCCTCCTTCATGTGGCATGTCAAAGTGGAAAGATTCCCATTGAAGAAGATCTGCTTCCACTGTTTGACATCAATTGTCGTGGAGAGGTGGGTTTTACACCAGTAATGATAACAGCTTGGTTTGGGAAAAAGATTGTTGTCGACCTCCTCGTATCAAAGGGAGCTGATCTCACTGTAAGACATGACAACAATGACACCATCCTTCATGTGGCATGTCGAGGTGGACATAGTCCCATTGTAGGACATCTGCTTCCATTGTTTGACATTAATTGTCGTGGACAGGTGGGTTTTACACCAGTGATGATAGCACTTTGCATGGACAGAAGGATGTTGTCGACCTGCTCGTGTCAAAGGGAGCTGATCTCACACTAAGAAATAACTAGAATGACACCGTACTTCATGTGGCAAGTCAAAGTGGAACGATTTCCATTGTAGAAGTTCTGCTTCCACTGTTTGACATCAAATGTCGTGGACAGGTGAGTTTTACACCAGTACTGATAGTAGCTTGGTTGGGAAGAAGGATGTTTTAGACCTCCTCGTGTCAAAGGGGGCTGATCTCACTGTAAGAAAGGACAACAATGACACCTTTCTTCATGTGACATGTCGAGGCTGAAAATAGTCCCATTGTAGAAGCTCTGCTTCCACTGTTTGACATCAGTTGTCATGGAGAGGTGGGTTTTACACCAGTGATGATAGCAGCTGTGTTTGGGAAGAAGGATGTTTTCGACCTGCTCGTGTCAAAAGAAGTTGATCTCACACTAGGAAATGACAAGAATAACACCCTCCTTCATATGGCATGTCAAAGTGGAAAGATTCCCATTATAGAAGCTCTCCTTCCACTGTTTGATATCAATTGTCGTGGAGAGGTGGGTTTTACACCAGTAATGATAGCAGCCTGTTTTGGGAAGAAGGTTGTTGTCGACCGCCTCGTGTCAAAGGGAGCTGATCTCACAATACCAGTTAACAACAACGACACCCTCATTCATGTGGCATGTCAAGGTGGACATAGTCCCATTGTAGAAACTCTGCTTCCACTGTTTGACATCAATTGTCGAGGAGAGGTGGGTTTTACACCAGTAATGATAGCAGCTTTGTATGGTCAGAAGGATGTTGTCGACCTCCTCGTGTCAAAGGGAGCTGATCTCACAGGATAACAAATGACAACAATGACACCGTACTTCATGTAATGGCATGTCAAGGTGGAACAATGACACCGTCATTCCCATCCCATTGTAGAATCTCTGCTTCCACTGTTTGACATCAATTGTCGTGGGGAGGTGGGTTTTACACCAGTAATGATAGCAGCTTCGTTTGGGAAGAAAGAATTTTGTCGACCTGCTCGTGTCAAAGGGGGCTGATCTCACTGTAAGAAAGGACAACAATGACACCGTACTTCATGTGGCATGTCGAGGCGGAAATAGTCGCATTGTAGAACATCTGCTTCCATTGTTTGACATTAATTGTCGTGGAGAGGTGGGTCAAACACCAGTAATGATAGCAGCTTTGTATTGGAAGAAGGATGTTTTCGACCTGCTCGTGTCAAAGGGAGTTGATCTCACACTAAGGACTGACAACATAACTCCGTCCTTCATGTGGCATGTCAAGGTGGAAATAGTCCCATGTTTAAATTCCTACTTCCACTGTTTGAGATTAATTGTCTTGGAGATTACGGGTTTACACCAGTTATGGTAGCAGCTATTGATGTACGTGGGTGGATACCTACAATGGTAGCAGCTGTCTTTGTAAAGACTGCAGTGTTTGACTACCTCAGACGACAAGGTACAGATGTGACACTTGTTGATTAGATTGGAGATGATTTCTTCACCCTCGCCCTTCAGGGAGGATGTAGGCAAATCATAGAACGATTAGCACCTGATGGACACTATGTCAAGAAGCACAGTCCTTGGACTAGGCTGATGAGATCCGTAGTGGCTTGATCTTTCAAAATATTGAAAGTTTGCCATGAAAACAGCCCAGAGTTGCTTCGGACAGACCAGTTTGGACACAGTCTGCTTCATCTGGCTTGTCGTGGAGGCAACAGGAAATGTGTGGAGTATCTGCTCCCGTCCTATGACATCAATGTCCGAGGTCGGTACAACTGGACACCGGTGATGATGGCGGCTGTGTGTGGACATGAGGATGTCTCCCAGCTGTTGGTGGACCACAAGGCAGATATTTCCCTGTTCTCAAACACTAGCGAATGCATCCTTACTCTTGGTGAGAGGACAAAGCAATGGCATTGTGGAATACCTGAGAATTAAGTCAGGGAGAAAGATTTGAAAACGGGTTGGACGGCTGATGGACTTTCCTAATAACTTAAGAATGTCAAGGATGATTACGGACATCAGGGATTGAATTCTTATTTATACTGATACACTGTGAAAATGCATAATGAGTATGAACAAGAAGTCAGCAAAGGAATTTTGTACACTGAAGATATCACTCCAAATGAAACCTGTAATACGACATTGTTGATTTTGATGATCTTATGAATAAATAAGCTGAACAATCCGATGTTTCGGAGGTCAAATTTGTCAAATAAATACAAAAATCTAGTATACTTTTTCAGAAAGTCTCATTATGCAATTTGAATATGCCCATTGTCTTAAGTGACTGTTTGGAAAATAACACCTGCTTGTATTTGACACTTGACTTATCGGTGGTCCACAGCTGTTGGTACCAATTGTAATCAGATCTTGTAGATGTAAATAGATGTCTATATCATTTTGTGAGCAATAAATAAGTGTATGGATGGAAACAGGTCGGTGAAAATGTTCAATACGACGTCAAAGTTTCCAGGAACCACTGCATCCATTAGGAAGTCCCAAATATGAAGTGTAAACAGAAATCTATATCATTTCAATTTTACAAATATATGTAAAATCTTGTCCATTCCTTACTCCTTGTCATTTACATATGCACTGACTGTATTTCTGGTTGCAAATGGGACAATTTGAAAAATTATGTACATTCGGGAATTACTAGATGTTTATTTCCTGTTAAGACATGGTTCCTTCGTTGCTATGGGTACCAACTATTGCTTTGTGATCAAATGTTGTAGATATGTAAATAGACGTCTATGGAATTGTTTGACAGTTTGTTCATTCCTGATCAAAGACTCGCACCTGAGCTGGTCACTAAATATTTGACATCATGCAAATGGTTTATAATGAAAACAATTCACATTCTGTAATTACTGTCTGTTTTTTTTCATGCCAACGCATGCTTTCTTTAACTGGCGGCTATAGGTAGCAACTCTCGGCCTATAATCAGATGCTGTAGATATGTACATAGATGTCCATATAATTGTTTGACATAGTTGTTCATTCCCTGAGAAATACGATGAACTGAGGGACTCGTATTTGCGCTGTTCACTAATTTTTTAACATAATGCATTGACTATACTTTCTGTATGTATGTATGTATGTATGTATGTATGTATGTATGTATGTATGTATGTATGTATGTATGTATGTATGTATGTATGTATGTATGTATGTATGTATGTATGTATGTATGTATGTATGTATGTATGTGTGTGTGTCTCTGTGTGTGTGTATGTATGTATGTATGTGTGTATGTGTGTGTCTGTGTGTCTGTATGTATGTATGTATGTGTGTATGTGTGTATGTGTGTGTCTGTGTGTCTGTGTGTGTGTGTGTGTATGTATGTATGTATGTATGTATGTATGTATGCATGCATGCATGCATGCATGTATGTATGTATGTATGTATGTATGTATGTATGTATGTATGTATGTATGTATGTATGTATGTATGTATGTATGTATGTATGCATGCATGCATGCATGTATGGATGCATGTATGGATGTACATAGACCTGTTAAGATATTACATTACATATATATGCTCCTTTTTTACCAAAGAAATGCTCAGCATCCAGACCCTTAAGTATAAATCTACATTATTGGTAATAATTAAGAATTGTTCTTTTAAGTGTCCTGTTGTCTACCAGCTATAATTTCTTTTCAGTGTTTAAGGATCTCTTATGTGAGAAATACATTGTGTGCTCATTGTAATTTCACCTGTATAACGATATATAATTAAATATATGATTACAGCCCTCCTGAAGGAAAGCGTATTATTTCATATGCTTAATGATGACAACAAACGTACTAAAAATAAAATTGCATATTTTGTTTCCTGTATGTAAAACAGCATACCTCTGCTTCAGTAACTGTTGGAGCATATTGTAACACGTGGTTGTGTGTTATGTCATTCTGTTTAGATATAAATGTTCGCCGCAAATAGCTGGAAATTGCTGATGCGGCGTTAGGCAATATTCACAATATTCAGATATAACTGTAAACACTTGAGAATAACTCTCAGCCTTACTTACGTGATGCCCAATATTCAACCATGTATCCCAAGTGAATCAAGCCAAGCTTTACATAAAAGAGATGTTGTAACATGTTGTGACTTCATGGTTCTGCTGGTGAATCGCTATAATGTTCTGTTGTGTTATGAATGTCTTTAGTAACTCTTAGCAGAAAGTTCACCTTACAGCCCTCTGTGGCTCAGTACAGAAACTGAATGAATATGTGCGTGTGCGTGTGTTTGCTGAGATGAATCACAATAATTAAATACTGAAAGTCCTTACATTATTTACGGTTGTGTGTGTGTGTATTTTGTTTGTCTGTATGAGAATCTACTTCAGTAACTGTTGGAGCATATTGTAACACGTGGTTGTATGTTATGTCATTCTGTTTAGATATAACTGTTCTGCTGATGCCGCATTAGGCAATATTCACTCCCTCACTGACTAGATATAAATGTAAATATTTGAGAATAAGTCTTAGTCTTACTTACTTGTCACCCTATATTTACACCACGTATCCAAAGTGAACAAGCCACGTTTTATATAAAATAAATGTCGTAACATGCTGTGGTTAACTTTGTTGATGAATCACAATAATTAAATACTGATTGTCCTTACATTGTTTACTGATGTTTGTGTTTGTGTATTTTTATGTTGTTGTGTCTCTCTCTCTCTCTTTCTCTTTTCCTCCCTCTCTCTCTCACTCACTCCGTGTGTGCGTGCGCGCACGCGTGCGTGCGTGTCTCTTAGTATTTGCGTCCTCTTTTTAAAACAAATCAATGTATTCCTCTACTCTTTGTCCAGACGCTACCATGAGTGCCTGGTCACTTTCTGTAACAGGGAGTCAGAAATAAAACTATTAATCGTGCGTTCCATTTTGTGTTAGCTTCTTCAAACAGACCGGGAGCGTTGGGGTAGCCTAGTGGTTAAAGCGTTCACGTCGTGGTCACGCCGAAGACCCGGGTTCGATTCACCACATGGATACAATGTGTGAAGCCCATTTCTGGTGTCACCCGCCGTGATATTGCTGGAATAATGCTTAAAGCAGCGTAAAACGTAACTCACTCATTCACTCAAACAGACCGAATAGTAACTTGCAAGTTGTTTATCATAGTTGTTTGCGCAAGGCTGTAATGAATCGATATGATAATCGAACTTCCTGACATTGATGCCAAACATTGTGACGAGCTGTCTTCCGTTCTTATATTAATGTGAACTATATAATTCATGTAACACTTTCTTAGTAAAGTACAGATTCCAGTACGTTTTGCTGGGTTTAGTCCCATCCGGGATACGAACCCACACCCTCTGAGTCAGGCACCTAATCGCCAGCACGCAAAGGCAGTTCCCTAACCCGCTCAGCCACCGCGAGTTCCACAAAATATGGAAGTCGGACAACTGGTAGTCTAGAGCGGACTTGTGTACATCTGATAAGTGTAAATTGGCATGGCTCCGACTGCTGAAAGCTGTGATTACACAATGCTTTTTAGAAGTTATGGTCAGATACACTTTCTTAGTAAAGTACAGATTCTAGTGCTTTTTGTTGGGTTGAATCCTACTACGAAAGTGCGATCCCAAATATAACATATGCTACATTTGACCACTTTATAAATGGCATTGTGTTATAATATATAATTCATATCTCAAACAGCCGCTCCTTAAAGATAGTCACAGGATCATTGTCAGTGATTGGTTTGTGAACAGAGCCAATTAACATGTT